AAAGTCGGCCATGTAACAATACCTGATCCTGCTAAATCGCCATTAGCAGATGTTACGAACACTGCCAGTGCTGATGCTAATATTTCAAATAGTAGTATTTGGGACGATTATGACGATATCATTATAACAAAAACGACACCTGAAAATAAATTAGCCACTGGCATTAGAGAAGTTGACAAATATTTAAGCGAAGACTATTTAAATAGAAAAACAAATCCTTTGGAATGGTGGGAAGAGAGGAAACTTATATATCCACATATATATGCCTATCTGCTCAAGAGATTTTGTATTGTTGCTACATCTGTGCCATGCGAAAGAATATTTTCTGGCACAGGACAAATCATAAATGAAAGAAGAACTTTATTAAAATCAAAAAATGTGGAAAAATTAATATTTTTAAATCATAACTCATGAATTTTTTTTTTATTTTGTGTCGGTTGGAATTTCTTTATTGTTTTAGTTATGTTTTAAGAAATATATTTTGTTTTTAGGATTTTTTTTTAGAATTTTTGTTTTGTTTTTAGATGTATATTTTATTTTTAGAAATGCATTTTGTTTTTATTTAGGATTTTATTTGTTTATTTATTTTTGTTAGAAATTAATTTTTTTATTTAGGATTAATTATATTTTATTTTATTAGATATGTATTTTCTTTTTTATGTTTATTAAAAATGATTATGTTGAGTTGTATAACGTTTTTATGTTTTATTAAAAAATATGTTACAAAGTAACAGTTACGAAATTCGGTTTGCAAACAATTACAAAATAACGGGTAAACATATCTTTACTATGAACGAACTAAAAGAACTAGTTCAGATAGGTTAAATGAACGAAAATGAGCGCTCTCTCAAAAGAACTAACCTTGACAACTCTACAGTGGCGCTCACAGAACACTTCTGGCGCTGTCAAACTTGGCAACGCTGATTAAATAAGCCAATTACAGAAGAGGTATTTTCCCCCTCGGGGGGAGTAGATGTTGCTAACAAAATTTAGCGCGGGGAAGGGGGAAGACTCCCTCTAGTAGTAATTGCTCGGAGGATTTTACGTATTGTAAACAGAAAACATTCTATGTCGCAACCCTTGGATATATCAAATCTTCCCACTGACAGTTCATTTGTTTGGAACAATGAACTGGAGTGGGGTAGAATGCTTGTCAATAGGCTTGAGATGTGACTCTATGGGCGAAGACAGGTTATTTTTCATCTCACTCAGAAGTATTTATAACAACCATTTTCTATTTCACTTTGTTATTGTCTGATCCACCAGCTTGTGGATTGAACAATAACAATGTGAAACAGAAAATGGTTATTATAAATACTCCCGAGTGAGATGAGAAATAAAAATGGCTGCGCCCATAGAGTCGCATCTTGTTCTATTTATACAATATGCATATTGGCTTTCTACCCCACTCCAGTTCATGTTCATTGGTTTGGAATGCCTAATACAATTATGACAACCGCCTATATTCAAACAGCAGTCTTCTGCGCATCCTGAATTTGTATCCTAGGGAGTGGATGTTATTTTGGAACATCCAATTGGTCCGAGTGAGCGAACTGATTCTTTTAAGCTATAAACTGTGCCAAAGTCTTTTACTTTCTCTATAGATTTGTTCGGGTTTCTTTAAAACTCGATTCAAACCGTCCGAAAACCAGTGGAACAGTTAAATAAAAAATTATTCGTCGCATACAATTATTAAACTGTCCACTGGTCAACTCTAGGTAGTCCTCTGATAGTTCTCAATGTATTTTTGAAGAACCCGAACAGACCTAGTATCTGCACTCTGCAGGACAGGGATCATTTTTATCATTATTATTAGCGGACTATCTTAAAGAAATCCATTTAAATAATTACAGAAGTAAATTAGCGAATACGAAAATATTTTTAAAGGCCGCCAACATTTTAACGGCCGTTAAAATATAAAGAAATTGTTACAGAATAGACCCCAATATCGAAAAATCTCTGCCAAGTTTTCGATTTGTCCCGCTTTCTACTTTTTAAAATATGGCCACTATAGACCAAGGCGAGTGACGCGGTTACGTTATTTGTTTTTAATTAATGAGACCATTCAATTTTGCAGAATGGCCGAATGTTACACTTTAGATGGGACCAACAGCTCCCATCTCGGAAAAGTGGGAACGGGGCGAATCATGCAAGTCTGACATGTGTAACACCCGAAACTGTTTCGAGTATGAGAAATCACCGACTGGATGAGCAAAATTAATAAAAAATATAAATGAAGGCACGTCTCATAGAGAGTGGTTTGGGGGTTCATAATCTGGTCATGAAACATCTCAAACAACGAAGTATGGGTAGACAGAATTAAAAAACAAATAAATAATAAATTTTAATAAACCTTTAAAATATAAAACTGGTACAAAAACAATGGTATTTATTTATATATATTAAATAAAAAATAGGACATTCTTTAACAATAAAATATAAAGTTGCAGGTACTTTTATTTTAATTAAAAGGCAAAAATTGAGTCAAATTATGTTCATAAAAATAAGTCTTCTTTTTTGTTTTTTCATTGGTGTCTTTGGCTTCGACAACTTAGGTCATTAGCCTCATGTTCTATGTAGGTTATTAATTGTACTAGTAGTTTAATACTCCATAGTGCAGGAGTGCTAGTACTCTAATACTCCTGCACCTGTTTCCCAGTGCTACTTAAGGAACAGCTCTGTTAATTAGAACCCAACAGTGAATAGTCGAGTGGGGAATCCTACCTATGCATTAGAATTATTTAATTTTTTTTATTAAATAAAAATATCTGCCACCGGTAGGATTCAATCCTGAGACCTTTCGATCAAAAATAAGTCTTGAGATTTTAGATAAATAAAACTATTTTGTACAACAAATGCTAGGCAATACCTAACCAAATTTTAAGTAAATTATGAATAATTTTTAATAAGACTCTTAAGACAAATCAATCACACTAGGAATCTTTTGATATAGCTTTCAGTTTTTTAACCTTTAAAGCAGGGTTACCAACCGTCCGTCATTATGACGGACAGTCAAGCATTTAAATAATGTGTCCGTCAGTCCGTCAAGGTATAGTTAATTACCGTCCATGTCGCCCAGAATCAGTGTTGCCAGATATACCATATTTATGGTATTTATACCATTTTTTCTACTCCGATACCTGCAAATTTTTAAAGATACCATTTTCCATTTTTTACCATTTTTTGGCTACTGATACCATTTTACTACCATATTTTTAACTTTTAGATTTTTATATCATTCATTATAATAATACGAGTAAAACATAGCACTCTGCACATCTCTACTCTACTAACAAGTAACAAGAATGGTCTCACATCTCTACTAAAACACGCCCAATAATAGACGATTACAAAAATGTATTTAGGTATAATCGGAGAATTCAATAATGAAAATAAAAATATATGGTCTATTTAAAAAAAAAATCGATGACGTAGCGAAATACGTCTAGTTGAAAATAAAAATTGACCAGTGAAAGCATTTTGTTAAAATACTGTTAGACAGAAAAATATCGAATTTATTCCAACCTATACGTCCTCATTGTATATGTTACTATAGGTTATAGTTATAAATTACTAAGTGCCAATTTCACCGTTGTGTTAAACGAAGATTAAAATGACATAGTTAATGTAAAAATGTCATTTTAAACTTCGTTTAACACAACGGTGGAATGCAAAACTACATTCAGCACACAGTTCCGTTACGAGTGCCAATTTAACCAATCGGAATGAACAGAAGTGACAGCTTTAAGGGGCGGAGCTTAATGCTGCGAAAAATGGTGATGATGGAAACAAGTTTTCTAACCTCAACTTTAGATATATATGTGTTTTGGTTTAAAATATTATTCTTTTATTTTATGACAGTGACTAGCAGTACATCGGATGTACGCGCTTTATTTGTACATCGGTCTCCTTTTGACAGAGTACTCGTAGGTGAGCTGTGTCCAGGCCGTTGGTGTTTATGCCGGTCGTCGTAGCCAGGTATGGATTGAAAATTTTTGGTGGCGGCGAAGCCGCCACCCTACGAGAAGTCGTTGCTTCGTCTTCTTGTTGTCACGGCATTATTATTATTAGTTCATGCATGTGAAATTTGCTTCTAAGGTTTATAAAATACTACAGAAAAATACTTAAGTCTTCAACTCCATCTTCTGAAATAAAGTTATGTTAGAATTAGGATGTACAAATAATGGAGGATACATCCGATGTACAAATAATTCGTGTATATCCGATGTACTGCTATTCACGGCGTTACTTTCAAAACTAGCGCGCTTTTATGTCCCGCCTATAATTTGGTGTTCGCACGTTGTTATTGGCTCTTTTTAGTCCCATAACCAAAGTGAGTGCTGGATGTATCATTGCCGGTGGAATCGGTCCTACAAGATTTATAAATACAATTTTATTAATACAAAGGGTACTGAGTAAATGGCCAATTTGCTGAGTTCAGCAAGATCATAATGATCCTACCGTCTGTTCTCTGTTCTTCCGCTCTTAATATTACTTTGTTAATTAAATCATAGTTTAAAATAAAAATTTTATACTAATTTTTCATTTTTATTTGTTCATAATTTGTGTAAAACTTCATTATTTGGTGTTATCAAGATTATTCTGGATACCATTTTTTGTCAGTAAAATACCATATTTTTAAGTGTCGGATACCATATATTTTTTTTTTCATCTGGCAACACTGCCCAGAATATTTGCTCTACTGTATGATGTGCTGTGAAGGGAGTGTGTTTGTGTTTATTATTGACTTTTAAAATGCGTGATTCCCAAAACAGTGCCGACAGTGATACACATAAAATGAAAACCCTGACAAAAAAGCTTTGTTTTCTGTTTAAAACTTGTGACATGGGTATTTTTTTGTACCTTAAATAAAAACTTTGCGATTACCTAATTACTTGTAAAAACAGCTTAGACTATCTTCACCAAAATTAGGTACGGATTTCTTTAAAAATAAGTAATTTTGATTAAAATAATGAAAATGAACAGTTATTTTTACTTCCCTTTATTTTCCCTAAAATCCCCTGCTGTCCGTCATATCTGTTTCAAAAACCTGGCAACCCTACTTTAAAGGTAAATGGAGATCAAATTAAATGTTTTGTGATCAGTACAACATATCATCAGTGTAAATCATAAAATTCATAGCTCCACGAGCAATTTACCATCTGAGAAATGCCTATTTTATTATTCCTGCAAATTACATTATTTATCATAAAAACAAATACAGTTTTAATAAGTTTAAGGGTTCTAATTTAAACTAGTTTTATGGCTCTCTTGTAAAATTTTCCTAATTGGTGTTACGCACTTTGAGATTTATACTGACAATATTTCATTTACTTTTTTGACTCAATTGATTTGATAGACAGTTGCTGTACAAAGGAACTGTGCATTTAACATAGGTATGAGACATGTGTAAGAATGAAGTAAAAAGGCTTCCTTTTGTTTATACTGCATTAAAAAAGTACATTAACATTTTTTTTAGAATTCAATCTGTTGGAGCACATGTACTGATTTAAAAATGATTTATCTACATTATCTTGGAAAGTTGGAACAACAATCTCTTCTCCAATTCAGATGATTGGCTATGCACCTTCCCTTGGTAAATATTCCTCAAAATTGTCATTAAGTTCATCATTGGGCTCTTGAACCTTGATTTTGTTTCACAATAAATCAACCTTCTAAACACCCTACTAATAATTACTATCTGTGTTTCTAAATAATACCTCGGATGTCTTGACAGGTATAAAAACAAATGTTTTATGATGAATGTTTTCCTTACTTTTACACCATACTGTATGATTTGAACCAGCAACCTATACTTTGTACATAATGCTTCAAAAGGTATATGTCATTGCTCATGATTTTCAGTTTTATTCCTACAATTGTGATACAGTTTTGATTCTCCTTGTTTAGTGTATTCATAAACTTTTCCTTTGCAATAGAAGCATGATCCAAGTGGTTTATGAGAAATTATCTCTTTGTCATAATGAATGCTAAGGCCTTCAAAAGTAGGAGCAAAATACAACTGACACTGTATACAATAATAGTAATGCTCTTGTTCATATTTTAGAATTTCCTCAGGATTTTCCTTTATAAATCTAGGATGAACGGCATCAGATTCACTTTTTGCTTCTATTATAGTTGGTTCATTAATTATTTGTTGCTCGTCGTTCTCAATCATTTTTAGAGTTGCTTTTTACGTTTACGTTTAAAATTTTAAATCGTAGGGATTGCAGAGTGCAACACCAACACAGCTGTTTTTAGCAACACGCAACCTCGAATTATAATGTCAAATGCCATGTCAAAGAAAGTAATTGTTCTGTGGTCAAAGAAAACTAATGGCAGATGACAGGACTGAAGTTTTTTACTTGACATGTACGTGTAATAATTCTATCTTTCTCTGTTCAGTTTAATGGGACGCCTATCTTTCTCGGAATTCAAATCTACCAGAAACACGGGCTGGCCAAGATACGTGCTTTGTGGGTTGGCCCACCAATTTGTCTGTATATTGTAACAACCTATTGTGTTGATAGTAATTTCTTTGCAGAGAATATTTTTATTTATTACCGCCGGATACGAAAGTTATCTTTCTTATTCATTGATTAAATAAATTTAAATTTATTTTATTTATATTCTAAGGTGAAATAGTAAAGAATTTTTATACATATTGATCTTATTTTTTGTAAATAATATTGTTGTTATTATTAGGTACTAATATTCGATAGTATACACTTGGTATCCGCGCGAAAGCTTTGAATGGCTTTATTTATGGTATATTTAAAGTAAGAAACTGATATTTGGAAAGTGCTTTAATACAGTGGTTCATACTATAAAATATTTTTTTTTTTTAACAAAATTGCATCAATCTAACAATTAATTTGTAGTGTAGACGAAAATGTTTTTGAAAACTATTTTATCGTACGCATGTATATTTTATTGTACATAATATATAACTTAGTTTTAATTTCATAAAAAAAATGTATTGGTTTTATCTTTTCTTCGTTCACTGAAAGTAAAAATAGGTCAAAATAAATTAAATACTTAAATAAAAAAAAAACTTTAATTGCCTACTATTTTTAATGAAACATTTTATTTCACATAACAAAATACAATCACAAAAAAAATAAATTACATCAATTTCTTCTTACAATTTCTCTTATTAAATATTTTAATTAAAAATCAACTAACTTTGGTTCAGCACATAACCAAAAATTGTCACCTCTCTCAATTTTCTCAACGAACATTCCTAGTGGGGTCCAAACTATAAAATAACAATATTTGACTTTCGTTATAGCCAATTGCCCTTGTACCTAATAATAATAATTATATATTTTTTTAATTTAATTTGGCCATCTGTATTGGCTAGATATTTAATTTTTTTCTTGAATTCCCATTTCTGGTATCAATTTGGAACAAGAATATGGACATTTAATTTCAATTATTTCATTATTATTAATAATGCCATCTGGAATTGCTCCTAAGTATGGATGTTTTTCATAAATAAATAATTAGCAAAATAATTAAGGTTACTTTTATAATATTTCCAATAATTTAAAAATTAATATAATCTGTTCTTAGGAATATTTTGAAAATTGTCCATTGTTTTCGACTCGCCTAAGGGCCTAAGGCCCGTATTTATAAACAGAACTTACGTGAGTCGGACTTGAGTAAGTCGTCCTTGAACTAAAATCGAAGTTCGGTTACAACGCCTCTAAAGTTCTAGGTGGTTCTGGTGTTTAACTGGAATTTAGAGATGGATATTAGCAAATATATAACTGTTATGTACATTTACGGATTTGTTACTGCCCATCTCTAAATTCACGCGATATAACCGACTTTACTTACCCAAGTCCGACTCAGCTGAGTTTTGTTTATAAATACGGGCCTTAATATCGGACATACGTGAAACTACTATTTCCATGGGAATGTCTATTCCGCACATACTTTGATTACTATAAGGGGCAAGAGAGAGGTCCGACACGCCCAACATAGGGCGCGGCCATTTTGAACCCTATGACACAGTTTATAGCTAAAGAATCAGATCGCTCACTCTGCGCCGGCACTTTTTATCTCAATGTTCCAGTTTATTTTATACACTGCGCAACTCAGATAATACAATATAGGACAACCGCCTATAATAAAACAGCAGTCTTCTGCGTATCCTGAATTTGTATCCCTGGAGTGGATGTTATTTTGGAACTTTCAACTGGTCTGAGTGAGCTAACTGATTCTTTAGCAATAAACTGTGTCTCCAAAAATAATATTCACTGACACTGACAGCAGCAAGCAAAATATCAGGTTCGTTTTAATCATCCGCTTCTGCTTCCGGAATTGTCGGTTCAGTCGTTCTAACCGGTCAGATTAAAACAAGAAAATTGACAATTCCGAAGCAGAAGCGGATGATTAAAACGTACCTATTAAAAATATTGCGCCAAGATGTAGGCAACACGTAATAAGGGTTCAAAATGGCGGAGTTTTCTGTCTCCTTTTAAAAGCACATACTTTGATTACTATACGAGGCAAGAGAGAGGTCCGACACGCCCAACATAGGGCGCGGCCATTTTGAACCCTGTGACACAGTTTACAGCTAAAGAATCAGATCGCTCACTCTGCGTCGGCACTTTTGATCTCAATGTTTCAGTTTATACACTGTGCAACTCGGATAATACAATATATGACAACCGCCTATAATAAAACAGAAGTGATCTGCGTATCCTGAATTTGTATCCCTGGAGTGGATGTTATTTTGGAACTTTCAACTGGTCCGAGTGAGCTAACTGATTCTTTAGCAATAAACTGTGACTTCTGCTTCCAGAATTGTCGGTTTAGTCGTTTTAACCTGTCAGATTAAAACAAGAAAACCGACAATTCCGAAGCAGAAGCGGATGATTAAAACGCACCTATTGAAAATATTGCGCCAAGATGTAGCAACACGTAATAAGGGTTCAAAATGGAGTTTTCTATCTCCTTTTAAAAGGCACTCAGAAAGCTGCGCAGTGCGACCATTCTCCGTATAGTAAAAGAAAATCAAAGTATGTGTTTAAAAGGCACTCAGAAAGCTGCGCAGTGCGACCATTCTCCGTATAGTAAAAGAAAATCAAAGTATGTGTTTAAAAGGCACTCAGAAAGCTGCGCAGTGCGACCATTCTCTGTATAGTAAAAGAAAATCAAAGTATGTGCTATTCCGACAAGTACGAGAATTGCATAACCTATTACCATGGGAATATAAGTAGTGGAATCTTTTCCCATAGGAAAATTTTCTAATGAACTCAAGAATCGAGCCCCAGCTATTTAGCAGGAGTGAATTCCACTCGACATGTGTATAAGGAATAAGGAGGAAGTAAATTAGGATAAATAGGGTGGTGTAACTGGTATAATCTACACTGGTGGACACTGCACCAACAGCGAACGAAAGAACCTATCAATGAAGAATTTAATAAACGTAAAGTGGGCTTAAAAAAATGTAAAAAAGGCAATTTTCATTTTTTGACGTCATTGCTAATTGATATATCAAAATTGGCAGTTGGCACTTCACTTGGCAACACTGTATACTGTTTATTCATATTTTGACAAATGGGCCCCATAATGGCTTCCAAGCAACAAGAAGTGGATATTTTAGAAAATTGGGAAGATATCGAAGAGACTGATGTAATTATGTTATAATATGTATTCTGTTTTACTATTTCTATTACTTGGCATTAGATTTTGTTCGAATGTAGTAATTTTAAACATTGATTATAGGTTATGTAAAACTTTTTTTTTAGGTTTTAGAAAAAAAATTTAATAACCTTATAACACCAAGTAAATCACTCGATAATAAAAGGTAAATTTATAATTACCATGATTATTTAATATCTAATAACTTCTTTTCAACTAGTAATGGTAGTTTAGACCAACCTGTTAAAATTATACTAACAGGAGATGATGCCTTAAGAACTCAGTATGTGCCTCCAGAGCCCACAGTTAAAATACTTAAGCGACCATCAAAAGATATTCATAGTAACGGCGATTCTAAAGTGTATCAACCTAAGAAAACTTTACAACAAAGAGAATTAGAGTATGCAGAAGCAAGACTTAGAATATTAGGTGAAGCTAGTCCTGAAAAACTTGAAGAAAGGTAAGTTTAATCAAATAAATTACGTTTAAGGCACACAAAAATCATCATATAGTAGTAATTTTAAGAATTAATAGATTGAAAAATTAGTTAACGAAAAAGTTTAAATGTTTTATTTAAAAAAGAACAGAAGATCCAAAAACTAAACCAAAATTTATTTAATTTTCCCTGAAGTTCTCACATAAATTTTCTTTTTTAGAATCAGTATACAAAAACCAACTTCAACAGAAAACATGAATATTCTTAGGATGCCCAGAGGTCCAGATGGCACAAGAGGTTTCACATTTAGGAGGTAGTACTTTTCAAGGATGATTGTTTTTGAATAAATTCAATTTCTGCCACATATCCATTCAATCTAACATTCATATGGACTTAAATGAACACTGATGTTCATTTAATATACAACAAGTCAAAAGTTGTGATACAGAGACACACTAATATGTATAACCATGCATAGTTTGTGTTGCTCTATTATAAACATTATAATCTACATTAAGGATTTTTTCATTGTGGACATTGATGTCTAAAATTTGACTTAATGTGTTGAAAAGATCCCTTCCATTATGGATATGTTAATTTTTTTTTGCAAAACAATACCAGTGCAGTTTTCTGTTTTATAAATTTTATTTGAATGATTTAAGACTGAAAAATAATGGATTAGGTATTTATAGAAAAGATGGAGAGGAAATTTAAAGGACAGACTGATTAATACTAAGAAATTTTTTACTCAAAATATGGTGATCATATTTTTAGAAATATAAAAATATTTTAAAGCAAATGTTGAATTTTTAAATGAGAATACTTTAATTTAACAAATAAATATTGAAAAATAATTGGCTTCTGAGCTTAAACTTATTGTTTTAATCAACTAGTGACAAAAATATTTTCAGTATTTTCAATATTTTTAGATTAGACACTATTTGTATAGAAAATTAGAGTTCACCACCAATCAAATATTTACTGTAAAATGCATGGCTATTTTATATGCTTATGAAAATTTAGAATCTCTCTTGGTGTTGCTGGTTGGTAAAATTATTGGAAATTAATAGCTAATAATGTTTCATATTGCTCACAGACTACATTACTTAAAATAAAAATGTCAATTTGGCTTTTATTTTTCAGACTTGGAATTATTCAAATTAAATTTAGAGGCCTGTTTATTAAACTTAAAAGAGTGCTTAATCATACATAATTGGTTTACTTAAATGTTATAATTTCCATTTTTGTGGTAAATTCAAATACTTAAGTACATATTCTTTCTTGAACAGGAGATGAAAATCAGTAATTTACAATGAAACAAATTGATATGTATAATAAAAACCCATTACATTTTAAGCAAAAATTAGAATTAGGTAAACTAATTGTGTGTGATTTTAACACAAATTACAGTTTTTGTTTTTGTAACGTGTATCTCATAGGTTAAGTATTTATAAAAATATGTGAGTTTTTCATTGCAAAAGGGCTTAAAATCTTTCCATTTGCCATTTAACGTTATATATAAGCAGCCTAAATTGGTCAGTAATGAAAAACTAATATGTTTTTTAGTTTTTATAATTGTGGTGACTTTAAAAGAATTCAATCTTTTAGTAAATCAACTTTATTTCCTGTTAAAAAATTATAAACAGTGAGCTATTAAAAATATAAGAATTGAAACTTCCAGAAACAAAATAGATACTGTGCAACAGATTAAACCATTAATGATAAATACAAAAAACTGTTGTTTTTGAATGTAATTAAACTAACTTTAGGTTTAAATTAGAACTATTTAAAATATTGATCAATTGCAAAGTATTTATTTTTTATTAAGTGAATTTAATATTTATTATTTTTTAATTTTATAAATCAAACAAAGTGGGAAGTATTTATTCCACCATTTTGATAATTTGTGAGTATATAATTAAAATGACACCCATCATAAATGTTTTTCAATTAAATATATTTCAAAATGATGGTAGAAATACTTGTAATATTTTTCTTATCGTTTTGTGAGAATTATGTAACCTTAAAGATTTTTGTTCATTTAATATTTCTAGCACATTTTTTCTTGTTAGAAATTGAAACCTTGAAGACTGGACAGCTTCCCTAATAGATGTTAACCCTCAAATTGAAAATGTACGTATTAAGTCGACTTCTGGGTTGATTATAATTAGTTTAAAGTGTTTAGTAATTTATAAAACTAAGAAACTGACTTAATAAGTAAAGAATATTTAATTTGGACAAATGTAAATGATTCAACATTTAACATACATTTTTGATACAATTTGAAACATTTTTATATACATACTGTAGTTACATCATGACATTCATTGGGAGTTAATAAAACATTAAATTTTCATCGACCAATTCTCAACTAATGTTTTTATATGTTAAAATATAGAATTTTATTTTATTTGTAAATATACTTGAACTCACAGTTCTTTGTAATTATTCTTAACATTAATATATCTTTTTAGGAAACTTTATTTTATTAAATGGGGTCGTTATTTAAAAACGTTTTGAATAACCACGTGAAGAACTTTGTCTGGTTATTGATATAGTCCACAATGAATGACAATTATATATAGGCCCTGCAAGCTGTGATATGCAGTCGTTGGGCTTTGCCGCCGGTGTTTTTCCAGTGGTCGCCCTTCCAAGTACTAAACTCGAGTTGACACGATATTTAAACACTGAAGTGAACAATATATGGAGTTGATAATCTCACATACAATGGTTAAAGCCAATTGGTTAACTTAACAGTATATTTGATCGAAGATGACTATTAATTTTAATGAGTTGTACTATTGGGCTCTATATCGGGTAACAATGAATCAAGGCCATGTTACTATCTCTTTTATTTTTAAAGCGATTTGGATCAAATTTTGGGCAAATCTATAAGATATAATTTCGAATTGACACTTATCCTTAAACAAAATGGGCGACTTCCACTTTGTATATTTGATTTTTTTAGAGTATAGGGTTCTAATTAAATATGACACTGTTGCCAAATTTTAATTTTTACAAACTTTTTTTGTGGAAAGCCATGAACTGGAAAAGAATGTTCTAATTATTGTCCTCAAATAACTCGAAAGAAAAGCTATTTTATCTACTGAATTAAAGAAATCATTCAGATGAAATATGAACTTTTCTACACCCACCTAGTAAGAACCCTGCAAAAATTAAATCCGCCAATCAGTTCATATTTTGGTCACCCAGCTGTGGGCAAAATAATGTGACGGTGATTTTTTTTTATCACAAGAAATACAGCTATGAATGATAATTTTTTGAGAAATTGTTTTTAAAAATGGGTTCAGAGTACGGTAAAGAATGGTGGAAAGTCTCTAGTTTGTTTTACTTTTAATGTATAATATTTTAATAAGTGATAATTAACAAATATTTAAAAGTTATGGACTTTCCACCATTTTTTATAGTATTTAAAAGCTAAAACGCAAAATACGCTCTTTTATATTTGCCCTAATTATTTCAGGAAACTTGTGTTAAGATTTAAAAATATTGGTGCCTATTTGCAACTGTGCTAAATTGCGACATACGTTTTATTAAACTCATCGGTTACGTATTTGTTGACATTAAGAGATAGAAATTTAAATTGACGTCTTGTATTACTTCGAATGAAAAATCGTTTTCCAACCTAAGAAAAAGTTGAACTTGGCCTTTTCGATTAATCGGATAATCGAAATTTGAATTTTATCATTCGAATAATCGACATCCAAAAAAATCGCTTATTCAAAAAGTTGTTTTTTTTTTAAATCTGATATTGATATTTTAAAAATATTATTTTAACACTTTTTTCATAGTCTTGTATATATATAATACAAAACTAATCGTCAATTTCTTTTTTTTTATGGAAAGAATAAAGTTTTCTGAAAAATCACAATGTTCTTCTTTGTTTCGAGCTTTTTGGGCCACACTTCATTACATTGATCGTAATAATTAAAGGCAATTCTTTATAAGCTTATTACAATATACTAGAACATACTTTTGTAACCAGAGCATTTCTTTATAAGGTTTGGTTACATATGTTACCAAAGCATATGTACCCAGACAGCACACCAAATCCTTTGGATATCTACTGAACATCCCAATATCCACTGAATGTCCAGTCCATGGTGGATATCTATTTTATATCCATGAAATGTAATTAATAGACATGCAAATGTCCATAAATAATTGTAATTATATAGCAAATTATTAAAAAATTACGCCATTGTACTCGCCATTGTGGCTAATAGTACCGTTGAGATATTTAAAATTAATTTTTTTTAAGGTGTATTCAATATCCCATGGACATCCACTATAAATATAAATATATCAAAGTCTAAGCGCGGACGCAAACCATCGTGGATATCTACTAGATGTAATTTTTGATTTTGCTTCCTAAGTATAGATGGCGATACCACTTTCGTATCTACTCATGCTTAACCCGCCGTAATTGAGTTTGATCGACATTGTTTCACAAACAGACTTCATTAGAGACTGAAGTCGAGAAGTTCCATTTATTGCTGAAGATTCCTAATAAGGATGATTTTCTCCTTAGTAGGCAAAATCAAAGGCAGATTGTTGGGAATATTTTTTACCTCTATTTTCTTTCGACGTTATTCAATAACCATTGGTTACTTATGAACCTCTACTAAAAATAATTATAAAATATTTATCTGAATTTCTATATCCTGTGATATAGACGGACATTTGGTTGGATATCCACAAAATATATTCTATGGATATATCTGGGATTTATTGTATTGTCTGGAGATACTCATTAGATATTTTGCTGAATATCCATAGGATATCTTCTATATTCTGGATATAGACGGACATTTGGATATCTATATTAGTTCCACGGAATATTTCTGATATCCTGTGGATATATTGGATATCCACAAAATATATTCTGTGGATATCTCTGGGATTTGGTGTGTTGTCTGGGTAGCTGCATCTAACGAGGCATTTATTTATAAGCTTACTAGAACACATTATAATAAAAAATAAAATTAAAACATCCTAAAATTTCTAAATTCAAATTCAATTTTCAGTTCATATCTGGTATACTCCGTTTCGTACATTAAAAATAGTTTTTAACACACCTTTAGGGTCAAGCGCACCCCTCGCATTGTTATAAAAACATGCTACCCCTGCAAATCCTTCCATTTTTTTTTATGATTTGGACCGTTTGGTCAGCTACACGTTTTTGATCTATTTTATCACTTACTGAGAAATTACACATTGTACATGTAGTTTGTTCTTATCATTTTATTATTTTTTTCTGCATTTTCATTTATACAGTTACTAGCTGTTGTCCGCG